GACTTAAATATTCAATTAAAATCTTTCTGCCTGGAGTCTACAGAAAGGATTTAATTCTGCGCGAAGTGTTTGAAGTTGTTAACAAGCATGTTTTCCATAACTAATATATTAACCCCAAAAGACGTGACATCAATTAACTTCCACTTTGAGTTAATCCATGACTATAGTACACTTAAATCTTCAAGCTTTCATGACTGCAGGAATTCAAATTCTTTGGGTCTTTCGGTAAAAGTCACATAGATAGGTTCAAAGAAAATAACAAAAAACTACGACGTTTCGATCGCAACACAAGCGATTGTCATCAGGAGGAACGTGGAGGAGAGCTGCTGAATTCAGACTATTTGACAGGGTGTGAATCTCACTACCGTGCTTCATACATTTTATTGTGAGATGTCCTTAAAAATGCAACTAATAAACATTCACTTCGCAATTACTTTGCTTTCATGTTTGTTTCTACTCATCCCCGTCTTTTCCAGGACTCACTTTTATCCAGCTTTGTCCAGATAGGCGACCTAGAAATTATGTCTGCCCACTGCATACAACCGCCAGAGAATTTTATTATTTTATTTCATTATTTGATTTCCATTCTACGTGACTTTACCGAAAGAACCAATAAGATGAACCGCCAGGATATTTCTTGCTGTGGCTGTGGCTGCTAGTCACGTGCCTACTCCAGTCTACTGGCAGCCCAAATTACATTCGATGAGAAATTAAAGCATGTTTAGTCCTGGCCTTTAATCACAAAGGCAACGAATGTGGTGCCACGTATTACCTAAAACTAAAGTTTTCTTTATTGTTCTTGTTTTCTCTCACGACAGCAGAGAATGGCAGGGGCAGTCATTTACATAATACTGGAAGCACAATTGTTCGATTTGACCCATTCTTAAGTGCATATGGCATTGTTAAGCTCAATTATATGAATGCAAATATACACGCTGTCGTATTGATATGAACAGCATGGGTTTTTGTTGTCTGCAACGGTACAATTTGGACAAGTCAGCCAATATGCAGTCAGTACACCATATTTATCATGTTGTTACATATGCTGACCATGACGTGTGGCTTTGTGTTCGCAGGAAATATTCCAATGCTTGGGTATCTATCAATGTGTCAGTGCAGTCAGGTTTGACAGCTTAAAGTTGATCAAGTGAAAGCCTCAACTCATTCAACAGCATGTGACTGACACGAGTTTTCTTTGTTAACTAATATGTTTGGGCACATTTCAAGCTTCCCTTTTACGACAAATTGTGATGTATGCGTGCCTGAAAATTAAATGTTTGAATGCATGAATGTCAATTTTATGATAATGTAACCTGCCAGATATTTTTTAAAAAATACATATTAATTATGCATCGCATTGTTTCCAAAATGCCCATTGCTCATTGTTTGAGCACGCTGGACATGTAATAGTCTATTCAGTATGAATGGCATTTGTCATATATACTGTACATATTATAGACGAAACAATGATAAACTTAAATATTTTTAAAATGAAAAATGACCTTCGGTAATATAAAAGAAACCCCAGTTTATATTCAGAGAAACAATGTTCCCTTATAAAGTGTGTGCATATAATTTTGATTATCGTTCATGTAAATTATTGCGCTCTTAATTGCATTGTGAATGGGGAAGCACAGGTGACGGACTTTTATTTTCAACGAAATTGAAGGAACTGATTTAATGTTATCCAAAGCACGTGGTTTGCAAAATAATAGGGAAAAATGTACCGAAACACCATTTGCTCACGTTCTGTTTATATTTTAGTGTATTCTAGCTCACGTTCACAACCCACTAAGTATAGTCGGTACACAGTCATGTTATAGATGAACAAACATTTTAACTGGCATCTTTTAGATAGGCATGCATGTATATACTTAGCTCTTTCGGTAAAGTCACGTTGAAGTAGTTTGTTAGGGCATTGAATAAATGAACAAATAACAATGCAAACACCAAAGCTTACAATTTTATACACATATCAGTGCGAATTGCAAACGTATACGTATTTTGGCAAGCAAAAAAATTAAGGTTGGGCTAAAGTCAGAGTGACCATACCACGGGGAGGATGCAAAAGAAGCAGCTTCCATGGCAGCCGAAGGCGGTGTGTATCTACTTCAAAGCTAAATAGCCCGCGGCCGCCTCATTATGTCCGTCACTCAGCCTGCCTGCAGGGAAATAAGGTGTCTACATACACGTGTGCTGAGCCACGTGTTAATACCATGCTCCCCTTTGCACCCATACTCATCTGTTTGGTACATTTTATATATTTCATACGCAGCGCATAATGACCTGCAATATCCTTCGCCAAGAAACGGTCTCTCGGTGTGTTAAACACATTTAAGTGTTTTCTGTAGCCTATGAGAACAGCCACTAAAGCTAGAAAAGTTGGTGGCAAGCTGCAAAGAAATTATAATGTTGTGTAAAAAAAGTGTTTTAAGATTGCAATGCCAGCAAGAATTCTCAGCATGCTTTGAAATATGTTGTTCATTATCTTTGTTTTAATTCCACTTTTTATATTTGCACATTCTGTAGTATTTATAGATTTCCAGTGTTTATGAATCACAATGTTTTTGAAAAATTTCAGTTGTCTGCAAAAAAATCCCGAGACTGCCAACAGCCAAAATGTTCAACACAAAGTATACGTTTCAAGAATTCACTCTATGTATGCCTTCATAGTAAACATGATGCTGCCTCCATGTTTTATTGCACAAACAATGCAAAACATCTGCCTAACACGCAAACCTTTGAGACAAGAATGTACGTTCATTTACCACGTAGGTTCCGCTGCTGTTTGTGCAGTGCTGCTTTACCGGTTTGGGCGACACAGTGCCGAGATGTCAATTACCTCGCCAGGTGTACAGGAAGTCGTGGGTTCGATACCGATCTTGACGCCTGCATATTTGGAGTTTGCATTTTCACTCACCCCGTAGTCGCGCTGATTTGTCTCCGGGTCCTCCGGTTTATCCCTCCACATTTAGAATCAACATGCGTTTGGATTATATGGCTGCTGTAAATGTCCACATGATAAGCCATTTTGTTGGGCTATCATTTGTATATATGGCTCAGCGGGCCTTACCTGATTGATGAAATACAAATATATATGAATAGTTTTATAGTTTATAGGTTGGGCCTGCTTGTTGAGGCTTCCTCCTCTTAAGCGCTCGCTATGGACGACTGCAGATACCTTCAGGAGTTGCATTCAACCGCCGTGTGGTGAAACCTTGACAGGAAATGCTCAACACACGCAGCCTGACTGGGAATAGCACACTTGGAATGCGTGTTGGTTTTATATGCTGCTGCTGCTTTGCGATAATGAAAGCTGTTTGGCTACTTTGGACTTGACTCCGTTGTCCTTGCCTTGAATTTGTATTCCGTCATCTCGATAGCAAATCGGTGAAATCAGAAAGAAGCACCGGCATTTTATTTCCTCTGTTGACGTTGGTAAAGACAAATTGTTGCCGAATTTTATACACGAAGTGAGTAGTTATCGCACTAAGCTATAAAGCCGAATACCTGAGTTTTATTCCTAACTGCAAGTGCCTAACAATCGTGGCAAAGGGATTTTGAAACGGTCCTCCCCCAAATAAATCAAATTGCTTTTGTTCGTCTCTTTATTTTTTCAATTGATCCTGGTGTACTTTCGACGACTGTTCTTGGTATACATATTGCGATGTCTGCTTCAGTTGTGTCCCATCAACAAATAGAATTTGTTTCACAAATCTATTGTTTCGATCATGTTATCTGGAGCCACTTTGCAGCATAATGATAATGTTTAGTTTAATAAATGTGTCGTCGGTCACACAAATTGCATCGCACAATTGGCAATTAACCATAGACAAGATGGAAGGCAGCCAGTGGTGAGCCGGCATCAATGATTGCCCAAGCTCTGCAGTCCTCTATATATTAAGACATTTTAGTCAATTAACGAGCGTTTATACCATCATTTCCATTGTTACAATCATACTACTAATAATAAAACAGGCTCATCTGAAAGTTCGTATGTGTACACATTTTCAGGATTATGACAAATACAAAATGTTACCAGTATTTTGGGCAGAAGTCATTTTGCACAGTGCTATGCAAACTGGCACTTTTATCAGTTCCCGGTGCACAAAAATGTACAAAATACATAAATAACAACAACAATAAACCCGTTAGTTGTGATTATAACTCATTTATTCATATGTTAAAATATATTCTAATGCTGTTGATACATACATGGAATCATGAGGGAAAAAAAGGTTATTAACTATATATGTGAATGATATGCAAAACGTATGAGAATGTTACATATAGGCTCACGGAGCAAACAGTGATGCACAGAGATAAAATAACACATTATAAATTATACAAACTAAATGGTAAATATATATTTAAAAATTTATTCCTGAATTCATAATCACTATCCCAAAGAGAGAACAATTGTAATTGCTCACAGGTAAGGGATGAAATAAAACAAGTCAAAGTAAACTAAGCTATTTTATTTTACCACTGAGCTATATAGTTATTTTTAAGAAGCAATTTGGCCACGAATGATAGCTCGACTTAATTGCATATCATGTGGAAATGTATTGCAGGCAAATCCTCGAAATGCATGTTTCTAATTGTGGGGGGGGGGGGGGGAAACATGCAAACTCCAAATATACAGCAGCAGGTGTCTGGGTCGGAATGGAACCCATGACCGCCTGTATAACAGGCGAGGTAGTTAATATCTCTCCACCATAACGCCGCTTGATGAGCATTGATCAGTGCTCATCTACCGTTCACATCTCTAAGTCACCGGTGGAAAATACACATTCCTATTGGACAGCCACTGTTGACTACCCCACAATACGGTACCATATTTGATTGCCCCCATGAGGGATGATGGGCTGAGTCAATGGCCAATCAGAATTTGACATTGCCTCAAAGTCACGGACGAGCACCTCGCACACCATCGCCCCTTTGTTGCACGGGTGAAACATGACCCGGTCCTCATCTAAGCCCATGTCTGTGTGTTGCAGGGTCAAAGGCAAGAAAGGCGTGAACCTCCTGGAAATTCACCCCAGCAATCCAGAAGTGTGGGCAGTCAACAAGGAGATCAACAGTGGAGCAAAGCACACAACGATCCTGGTGGAAGTCAGCAAGATGCCCTCTCCACCTGCGGCTAGGTTGGTCTCATCAAGCATCATTGCACTGTCATGAGGTTCATACAACACTGTGCACTTATTAATATCGTTGGACGCAGTCGTCGTCGGAAATGTATGACGGTAACGTAATTGACATTTGAGAACAGCTTCGCAGTGCCTTTACGACGCTGTCTTGAATGTATTCTTCCCTTTCAGAATTAACTATTCTTTTTTTTTGCCTTTTTGGTCTCAACTGTCACAGTCCTCGAGCCGGTGTACAAATTGGTACCGCGCGAGGTGATAAACCGTAGGGAGGTTTTCTTTGCTTTGTATGGCCAATTAAAGTGGATGGCGCAGGAGTTGGAAAGCTGTGATTGGTGCTACGCCACTCAAAATGTCTTTCCCGGCCACAGCTATAATTGGTGGCAACTAAATATCAAAACCGGTTCATGTACCCCCCCCCTCCCCCCAGCCTGATTACCACTAATTGTTTCAGACTTGATTTGAAGCTTTCGTGACTGCAGGAATTACTCTTTGGTTTTTTTCGGTAAAGTTCTTATTTATACGTGACTTTACCGAAAAAAACAAAGACTAATTGTTTCGTTGACAAAGAAGTGATACACCTGAGGTGGGCCCCCTGGTTTATTTCACCGCTCGAGAAAAATTTCAAGAAAGTTGCCAGGTTCGTGAGCTGTTGTGAATTTCGCAACATGCGAGTGATAAAAGTACAGCCCATCTTAGTGCAGATAAAATAGGTCGATTAAAGGTTTCTCCGAAGTAGTTATGTGTCATCACTAGCAAGATGTAATGCATTGCTCGTTGAAAGTTCAGATATCATTATTTTTATTTGGAATAAAATTGTGGGGAGGACAAAAAACAACCATTTTTTTGTTTTTATGTAGAGATGGCAGTGGCTTCAGGAGGCATTTCTTTAACAGTGGATTGACCATGGCTAATCATGCCGTCGACGAATGTTCAATCCAGGAATCGGACCCGTATCTCTTGCGTATATAGCAAGCCATCCTATACCCTTCCCCCCTCAGCAATGCAGCCGTAATGGGGTCAAATAATGTACTTAAATAATCTATAATGTGCAAATTTGTGTAAGTTGTACGAGGTGTCCTTATTTGTGGCATCCATTATTAAATATATATAATTAAACATCAGTTTGAGCTCGCTCAAACAAACTACACACACACACATTTGGTCGTCTCTTCGTGTGAATATCTTTTTTGTCATTAATCTGGCGACACACATCATATCTAGATTTGAGAGTCCCAGGTGTTTGTTAGCATCTCTTGGCTGTGATTGTTTCACATACGCTGCTGCTACGGCACTGTTGAAGAGCACTAAAGCTTTTTCAGTAAAACTTGAGTAAGTAACAAAACAACTCTACACATTCGTCAATAGCACTCAGGGGCGGAGCCAGGATTTCAGGCCGGGGTGACATTCAACAAATTTTAATTTCAAGAATGATTAGAGAGTCAGGCTGTTGAACTAGACGCCATCGGTTGGCGACACACTCTGACAATGCAGTTGCACGGAGTCCGCCAGACCGAGTGTCGTACACTTATACGCAGAATGTCACCCCTGTCACCCCCCTCCGGCTCCGCCCCTGATAGCACTGCCTTCAAAAGGTTAAATATATGGCAATGGTCCCTTCTCCTTATCACATTAACACGATTTTTGTTCCTGGGTAGTAAGTGTTATTTCCTAATTGCTTATGCCTCAAAAGTATAGAAAATGGCTATTATTACCCACAAACTTTGATTTTGTGACCAGGACTTTAGGTAAACGAATGACCACAAATGCACGCCACGTTTTCTCATTAAAAAAAAAGGTAAATTTCTAAATATCACTGTCCTGGTCACAAAAGCAAAGTTTGTGGGGAATAATAGCCCATTTTCTGTACTTTTGAGGCATAATCAATTAGGAAAATAACACTTACTACCCAGGGAACAAAAAAAAAATGTTTAGTAACACAGTGATTTATAAGTGTGCTATGTTGTGGACGAACTTGTTGAGTTTTTGTTTTGCTTCGTGTTCAAGTGTTACTGGTAATCTTGAGTAATCTTCAACAGCACGTAGCAGAAACGTCTGAAACGATCACGGCTGAGTAAGGTGTGCTTGCGCGCCACCGCCAATGTAGCAAACAATGTGTTGAGTATGTATAAGAAATGCTTTATCGTTTCAGCCATGCCAGTCAAACTGCTGTCGTATTATGAGTATTTAACAATGCACAAAAGCCTCACGAAAACCCGTAAATTCTCTATTTCCAGGAAAAAAGTATGTGCCAAGATACGGCGAGGGAAAAAAAAGTATTTGATCCCCTGCTGATTTTGTACGTTTGCCCACTGACGAAGAAATGATCAGTCCATAATTTTAATGGTAGGTTTATTTGAACAGTGAGAGACAGAATAACAACAACAAAAATCCAGAAAAGCGCATGTCAAAAATGTTATGAATTGATTTGCATTTTAATGAGGGAAATAAGTATTTGACCCCTCTGCAAAACATGACTTAGTACTCGGTGGCAAAACCCTTGTTGGCAATCACAGAGGTCAGACGTTTCTTGTAGTTGGCCACCAGGTTTGCACACATCTCAGGAGGGATTTTGTCCCACTCCTCTTTGCAGATCTTCTCCAAGTCATTAAGGTTTCGAGGCTGACGTTTGGCAACTCGAACCTTCAGCTCCCTCCACAGATTTTCTATGGGATTAAGGTCTTGAGACTGGCTAGGCTACTCCAGGACCTTAATGTGCTTCTTCTTGAGCCACTCCTTTGTTGCCTTGGCCGTGTGTTTTTGGTCATTGTCATGCTGGAATACCCATCCATGACCCATTTTCAATGCCCTGGCTGAGGGAAGGAGGTTCTCACCCAAGATTTGATGGTACATGGCCCCGTCCATCGTCCCTTTGATGCGGTGAAGTTGTCATGTCCCCTTAGCAGAAAAACACCCCCAAAGCATAATGTTTCCACCTCCATGTTTGACGGTGGGGATGGTGTTCTTGGGGTCATAGGCAGCATTCCTCCTCCTCCAAACACGGCGAGTTGATGCCAAAGAGCTCCATTTTGGTCTCATCTGACCACAACACTTTGACCCAGTTATCCTCTGAATCATTCAGATGTTCATTGGCAAACTTCAAACGGAGCGCCGTCTTTCCGACAGTTCTGTTTCTTCACCTGAGGACGGCTGCTTGTGTTGTGGCCGAAACGTCGTGAGAATTTTATTTTATTATGTTTTATTTTTATTATTTTATTATTTCCCTTCTACGTGACTTTACCGAAGGAACCAAGAAGATGAATCCCTGCACTCACGAAAGCTTTAAATCGAAATTTAACTGCTGCATTACTTCGTGGGAACAGCTCCAATGTCTCAAAATGTCCGCAACATGTCGGAACCAATCGTGCACCAATTTTGGGGGGGAAAAAATAAAATTTTCATCGTCTTTATTTGCACGTCACGAAATTATTCGTGAACAATCCGATTCACATATCAGTGCACTTCTGGATTCAGTCATCAAAATATTGCTCGATTTAGTCGGGATTGTCTCATACTGAACCCGTACTCTCAGTGGACGATTACTTTAAACTTCTCGAGGAAGATCTTAAAAGTGAGATGGTAAAAGTAACTGATGGACAAATAATTAAAGCATCTAGCCTAAAGAGATATTTTATTTTCACTTTTGGTTGCTATTTTTCCAATTACCATATATCCATTTTACTTTTACCAAACAGAGACATGCACATTACTGAAACCGACAGGTTTTTAATCCATCCTGTCAGTCTAGAAATAAATTGCTTCTGTGTCCTTTATATGTTGCTAAAGACAATTACAGTACCTTCGTGTTTCCAGTCGGAGATACAATTTAATCTACTGGCTAAGGAAGATAAATGTGATGCAGATGCAATTTCATTCCATCAAACAGAGGCAATGTACTTAAACAATTTCTAACATTTTTTTATTTAACCTTTTGCACGAGACACGTAAGACCTGAGCCACATAATATATTTAAGCTGTTTTGCATTGGAATTATACAACATCAGTTGTAAATGCTAAAACATTGATACAAGGATTTACATATAAATCAATCTTGAGCCATGCATGTGCCAATTTTTATGAGAATTCCGAACAGTAACAAAAATGACAGCGATATACTGAGGGATAAAAGTTCATGTACTTGGAATACGGACATGTGTGACCAGGTAAGAGCTCATTGAGAATACAAGTCCTCCTTTAAAAGGAAATATTGGTTGAAAACAGTTCAATGATCTCTCACATTAACATAGCCACCTTGGCACGCCCGCCGTGGAGGATGCTCAGCGATCTTAGATTGACAAGCAAATTTTTACCTGGCAGCCCTGTGATTGGTGGAAAACCCACCACAGCCGCAGCCGCTGCCCACCACTTACATTAACATTGGCTGCTGACATTTGGGCAACGCCCATTTCAAACCTTTATAAACAGTTCGCCTTTAGAAGCTAGCCTCCCTTTTTCCTGATGACGACCACTTGTGTTGCGATCGAAACGTCGTAGTTTTTTGTTATTTTGTTATTTTCTTTGAACCTATCTACGTGACTTTACCAAAATACCCAAAGAATATGAATTCCTGCAGTCACGAAAGCTTTAAGTCTGTCCATAACTGTTTCGTGTTAATAGAAAAACAAAGGACTTTGTGTTGGCATATCCTTTTCACTTAAAAAAATTACATTTAACAAAAAATACGAGATGAGTATTGGTCGCAGTAAAATTTTAATTCATATAAACGCTTTGATTCAATCGTTAATTTGGGGCAGAGTATATCTTAGATTATTATAGTGTCCTATAAACAAGTTTAATGGTACCCATTAAATGGTTGTGGGGATTTTTCAGAATCTAATAGATGATATTCAGGCACAGATGGTTTAACCTATGCCTCTGTAGTTTCGAGACAGCTGAGAATTAAAATGTGTTTCATCTTCATTTCCTCAAACAATCTGAACATGTTTTTTTTTCATGTACCGTCAAAACTTTTGTGGTTATGTGCAATAATTATAATCAAATCCTTTGCCATTATACAACACATTATAGCCAAATAAAGTAAAGCACCCACAATATAGGTTTTTTAGGTAAGATCGCGTACATATAAATGTGTTGTTAAACGCGCCACCACCCGACACAGCCAATTAGTAAGGTTTGTCACATAAACAGAACATGCGAATTCGTTACTTGTACAGCACACCGGTGTGAATATGACGTTTCGCCAGTAATTACAACTAGCTTCATCAGGTGACAGCCAAAAGCATATGCAAATAATATAAAGCACGTGCAAATTATAACCAAAAATATACAGATTAAATATATGTAAAAAATTACAAACCATTTGAAGTGTGTTTCCATTAGATTCAAGCTGTTTTCTAATTTCCATGATTGTCCATTAACGTTGCCTTTCATTTTCTTTTTTCCACAAAGAAATTTACCAAAATCACCGCATAATTAAAGGGGGAAATCTATGTATATATTTAGTTTTTAAAGCGGACTCTTGGGAAATGCTTCTTCTTCAGAACAGACACAGAGGGCAGAGGTTCACAGGCTTATAGCCGGTGGTCACACGTGACACTTGTGCCCTGCAGACACTGATACATTTTTTTTAAAAGTCGACATAACCTCTACGGTTTGCAAAATAAATAAATAAAAAGGCACCACACAAGGTTCAGAGGAAGGGAAGAGACGAGAAATAACACACCTCGTTTTTTCCACAATCCTCCAGGTCCATGAAGGGGAGGCCATGTTGAGAATGTTCACGGGCAATGTGTTCAGAGAGAGTCCAACGTTGCAGGACTGGTTACCCCCATTTATCACTGTCAATTTAAGTTGTTGCTGCGCCTATACATATTATTATCAAATCATCCAAAATGTGGACACTATGATTGATCACAGATGCAGACAACAACATATTGTCACACCTATTACCAAAGATTTAGCAATTATTGCTAATATAGGTAAGAATCATTTAAATCATTCTCTTGGTTACAAAGAAATGGTGAACAGTTTAGTGCATTTATATATTGTTGACCTGCTGAAGCAGAAGGAGTGGTGGCTATGGTGTAATGGATAGAACAATGACCTTGAAATCCAGGTATCTGGTTTGATTCATTCTCCCTGTGCAGCAGTTGATGCAATGGACACGTTTCCTAAATATGCCCCCACCCATTCAGCTAGCCCCAGCAGTCGCACATGTGTACACCACACATGTGTACACCACGCACCACAGTGTGGAGGAGTAGGCCAAATACCATATAGAGGGGCTCAGACCCTTATGCCAGCAGTGGTGTGAGCAAGCAGTTGCAGGGCTGCACATTTATTTTAAAGAACATAAATGCACCACCAACTATGTGCTCGGATGATGATCTGAGTTGACAGCTCCAAAGACCTCATCACAGTGGAGTCTTTGTGCGTTTATCTGCACTGCAACGTGACTTGGGAATGGACGTCAACAAGATCACGAGCATTGGCATATTTCAATATTAATGTGATTACTGATAGGCAGGCGTTAGATATACATAACCGAGGACATATCAAGGGAAGAAACATATTTCACAATATCTAAAGAATTGGAGAGCTGCATGTGAATGCATCGTCTTTAGTGGTGCCTTTATTAGGCAACTGACACAAACTTAAGCATTTAGTGTCCTTGGATGGCTTTGCATATTCCTGGGAAAATCAGCACAAATGGCAACCCGAGGTAAATGCTTTCTGACATAGTACTAATGACCATACGTTATGTCCATTATTTGTGCAGGGAAGTCTCACGAAGCACGAAGACTCGTTTTTCAGCAGGGATCTGGCTTTTTCAGGATTATTGAAATGTCATTGTAGGGGGGGATTTTGCTTTGCGTCTTTGTTGTATGTGTTTATGTTCACGTCATTAAAATGTTGCTGCCATTCAGTGGTGCATCCTGATGTTTGATTCATATGTAGACCACAACGTAAGAATAACATTCTCATTATTATTCACTCAAATTGAATTGCTTTATTGTTCCATCATGTGGGAATGCAGCATTACTCTTCCATTTTTTGCGGTAATCCCTCTTTAATTTAACATCATCATCTTTATTATGTATACCACACCTACATTACAGCGCATCTGAAGGTGCCAGGACAAGGGGACATTCGAGATATAATAACAAGATAATTACCTAGTAAAGAAGTGAGTGCAGACCAAATTGCATCCTGGACAAAAAAAAACAATATAGCATCCAGACAAGGTACACGGACAAACGAGAGTACAAAAATAATACACGTAATGAAACGAGCACTGAAGCTATTCTCTTTTACGGTTCACTTAATTTGAGGAAGTGGAAATAATGCCTTGAATTTAGTTTTTTATTGAATTGTTGTTGCCACATTTGTAATGTTTACGGTTAAGCTGCTGCTCAACTTTGGTGTCAAAACACTAAACACCCGGTCAATGATGATTAATTTTGTCTATGGTTCTTTTATATAAAAACTCTGTATCGCTAAAGTGTAATTAATTGCGTTAAATAAAAAAATAAGAGTGTATAACAGTTTTTGTGTGTGTAAGATATCGTTCAATAACGTTCAGTAGGTTTAACAAAAAAACTCAATAATTAATTATGTAAAAAAGTGGTCAGTAATAACATATGCATGAGCAAAAAAACATTCGAATTATACTGCTCTAATTCAAGACTTATCGTAATCCACAGTGGGAAATTTACCATTAGCTAATTCCTGAGAGTGTCGGTGTCCTCAACAAAGTAGTGTCTAAAGGAAGGTACATGGTGTGTTTAATAATTACCGCGCATTCCCCTATGGTTTCTTTTAAAATACCATTATAGTTTGCTAATTAGTTTGACAACACAGGGCTATAAACTGCTGTGCTCTGACATTGAACTGCTTTTAGAAATATTAAGTTTGTTAAGCCTGTTGAGAATGTCAATTATTTCTTATACTAATATAATTAAGTATTGCTTTTAAAAATATCTCTAAGAGTTTAAAGCTAAGGGAAATGGATGGGATTGATACATTTCTTTATGTTAAAATGTTGCACAGTGAGGTGTTATACAATATAATATTGGATTGTACCTTTTTAAGTATGGTGTTTTTTTATCACTTGCTTAATGTGCATGTTTAAAATAATACTGTTATTGGTATACAGAGCTGAAAGATATCCCGTTTGTCAATGGTATAGCTTTCAACAGATAAGAAGGCACATTGACTAAGCAGCAGGCTAATCTTATATACCTGTGTGTATTTTAGCATGTGAATGGTCAACACATTTGCCAAACGCTACATGATCGTTGACAGTTCCAGTAGTGTGTTACAGACATTTTTTTACATATATAAATGAAAGTCTGTCTGTCTCTCTGTTCTGAATACAAATCCACACCGCTAAAGCTATCGCCACCAAACTTGGCAGGGTTCTTTTTTAAAACCCCGCAGAATATCTTAGCTGCATGGCGAGCAGACATTTTACATGGGGGGGGGCGGAGCCCCCCAAATGGCATCCCACACGCGCCCAGTGACGTCACCAGCCCTACCCCAGCAAGCCCAAGCATCCTTTCGTTCCCCATGGTGGACACGTGACGTTACATTTATTGCAGGCCCCACGGTACAGCGAGATCTCAACAGTTGCTGTAACGCCACTGACCCCCTCCTTCTGAACAACAGCGATTGAGCCACTCTACGTTCGCAAAAAAAGATAGCTGCAAGTACCCGCTAGTGAGTGATACATATTGCGACCATCCAATGTAAGTGCCCGGAGGTGGCAGTGCAACCGCTGTGTTGAATTGATCTGTGTAGAAAACTGTTACGTCCACACACATTTCTCGGGTTCTCCTGGCTTTGGATTTTCCTCCCACGAGTCAAACACCTGTGCATGGAATTTTAGCCACACATATCAATGCAGGAGCCTCCTTAAAGACAGTTCAATGATTCAGTGAGGGTTTCCTGGATAAACAAAGTTGGAAATGAGGCAAATGTGCAGCCCTGCAATGTATTGCTTGCACAACTGCCGGTGGAAGGGCCCCCACTAGAAGGAGCCCCAGTGAGCCCCTCTAACTTGTATTTTGGCCTACTCTTCCATGTTGGCGTGACACCTTGGAAAATGGGGGAATACCCACACCATACCCCACCACATGCGAACGTCCGATTTCTTGTAGTGTACCGTTCTGTGGGGGGGGGGGGGGGGGGGGGGCAGAAGGTGGACTGAGAAACCTGCCCATTGTTTTAACTTCGGCACCAGGAGATCGAACCGACGGACCTCAGGATTTCAAGTCCAGTGTGCTAACCTGAATAAAGTCTAGCATTATTCATATTGTTCCTGACTATTGTTCAATGCAACGTTAATATTTGAACGGCACAGCGCTGCTGTCAACCTCCCGTCATCAGACATGCCAGTGTCACTGCACGCCATTCTGTCCTGCCGATGCCCAGTGCCAGTGGAGAGACGGGCAGCGCGGAGATCCTACAGCTGGAGTTCGAGCTGGAGAACATCACCAGCCAGACGGTGACGCGGCGCATCCTGTGGCACGTGGCCTACGATGGGCAGAGCGCGCCTTCCGAGCATGATCGCATCACCAGTGAGCTGACTGTCAGCCAGCACGACATTGTGGGCTTGGTGGCGATAGCTCCGGTAAGAGGCATCTTCATTTTTTGTTGTTGTATAAACCATATCAGGAATAAAATGTCGCAGTCAATTATTTGTTCGCCTTTCTAAACTGGAATTAGTTAGCGCCGCTGACGCTGGCTATAAGCACAACCCTCTTCGGGCGCGAGGCCAATTGTGCTTGCATCAGAAGGAGTATGCTTGTATGCGAAGTAGCCCTTTGAAATTACCCCCCCACGAGTGTGCTGTCAAGGATCTGTTGTTTATACCAGAACTGTGCTTATATCAGGAGTTTTTATATTTATCTTCTGTAAAAATAGAGCATGGGAGACCTGAAGCCTCGTTATGCTCTGCCGCTCTCCACCCGTTCACCTCTTACATTTTCGGCACGATACTTGACGTGAGTTGGCCTAGCGTCTCCGAAAAGTCTTTGCCAGTTGCACACAATGATTTGTTTTCTCTCCAAACCTAGGTCAAATGTAATAGGTCTTACATCGCTCATCTTAAATACCATAGGTCTCCTGTTCCTTCAGGTCAATATGAGCCTGAACTGAACTCTGCGTGACAAAATACACTCCGGTCCTGTCACTAACCAGCTGACAGAATGACAGACAGTTGCAGTTCTTATATAAGGACTAATACGTTGAATGTCATTTTAATTGCCACTCGGCTGATTAAGTATTGCCAGATTAAGCAATTAAAAAATAAAAAATGAACTGAAGGAGTAGCACGGTTATCCGCATCCCTCTTCTGAACATGTATTTATTTTACCTCCGCCATGCTGTTATGTAATTTCATAGTAATTCAATGGGATAAAATAAATAAAGATAAAGATTCTGTACGTTGGAGGGGGGGGGGGCACTCTTCTTAGCCGTGGCCAGGAATTAAACTAAAATGCTATTTATTGTTATTTTACAAGGTAAGGCCCACTAAGCTTATAGCTCTTTTTCAGAAGCGACCTGGCCACAAACGATAACTCAACGAAGTGGCTTATCATCACGTGGAAATTTATAGCAGCCAAATGTTAAGGGGAAAACCGGAGGACCCGGTGAACAAACCACGTGACACGGGGAGAACATGCAAACTCCAAATATACAGCAGACATCAGGGTTGGGATCGAACCCACGGCCTCCTGTATACCAGGCAAGGCAGATAACATCTCACCACCAAGAGCTCAGGTCGCCAGGTTCGTAGTGCAGTGCACGAAGCACTGTACGTACTACCATTACAGGAGCTCCTGGCCTCGTCAATATAAAGCAAATACGTTGAAGGGAAAAAAATCAACTGAGCACTTTTTATTTAAAATATGTTGATAAGTCTCCCTTGTGCCGTCCGGAGAAAATGCTCGCGGGACAGAATGGCCAGTATTGATTGGCTTAACGCTGGCCAGTTTGATTGAATGCCGTGTGAGCATCCGCAATTTAATTTACAGCAAAAACACACAATAAACATGTCACGTATCCCAATTCACTGGCAAGCGAATGGTACATTTGCTGGAGATGTGATGCAGTTTAAAAACGCACGTGTAATTTTCCTACCAGAGCTTCCCACTTATGCAATATTAGTGTTTCCACAAGAGTAAATAAAGGACTTGTAAATTTGAAAGTATACGACGTCGCGTGTGCATGTATATTCACATATCTGCGACCTTCGTGTGAAATTGTTTCATAATAAATGGGATGCAATGATTTCAGACGTAGGTTTTTAATACGTATAATCGTCTCTGAATGATATCAAAGCTGGTATGTTTTTAGTCTGCTGACTGTGACTTTATCCAAAGACAATAAAGTACAAATTGCCCAGGACAGCGGAATCTAATTGCTCATAATCTAATTGACGATTACCATTTCAATGAACCATTAATACTTGTGTAGTGGGCTCAAACTAAATCGCAGACGTACTCTTTGAAGGCAACAATGTTTTAACACTATATAACCTATGGTGGTGACCACCAGGCTAACTACACTAGTCACACCGTAGCTAGCTACAACGGACCGGACCACAGCTTGGGTCCAGGTCCACGTGTTGGAGGCTCTTCTGGACGTAGAACGTAGGTTTCTTCAGGATAACAACAACTGCCGGTCCCACTGGGGGACCCGGCATATATCCTCCGTGGCGGGGCTCGCTCCGCCCCTAGCCACGCCCACCTTCTTGAATCCTCGAGGAGGATCTCGACCTGGTCACGTGATCACCCCTAGCCCCTCTTTTGGGGGTTCCCGTGGAGCCACAACCGGTCACGTGTCCTCCGGGGTCAACCAGAGTGCCAACCCCATTCCGTGCCTGGGACTCTCGCCCTCTGTCCTGTAGGGACTGACACTGCACGCAGAGCGTGGTGCCATCGGTCACTGTAAGTCAGTGCTTTTTTCCGGTACTGCATCCACATTCAAGTGGTGTCAGCGATGCCGATACATCGCGCGCCGTGCCTCTCCCAGGCCGGCTTCACACAGTGGCATCCAACGATGTCACTACGTCTGCAAGAAAAAATAATTTCCACTAAATGACATTTCATAAAATAATGGAGAGTGTACAGCTCCTTAACAAATCCACCATTGTATGAAGGCCTCCCGATGCCATGTCAGTCATGGGAGTTGTTTGCGAGTTGGTGAAGGGGGTGTGGAGAGGAGGGGGGTGATGGGGGGGGCAGAATTGATTCACACACTACAGCCGTGGCTGAGAATCGAACCCGGGTCACCGGGTCGAGAGTGGGGTGCACTAACCACTCCTCGCCAAAATGAATTGCCAATTGAAAATAATATTTCAGAAAAAATAAATGCGGTGCAAGAGCGAGGAACTAATCAGGTTCAGTTTAAATTCATTAAAGAAAAAAATTGCCTTGCATTTGATTGGAATGTAATGTGTCAATGTAATGTGTGCAGGAAAGAATTCGGTGTGAAAATTAAATTGCATGGTGCATATTACCAAACTATATCCTATTGGCGTACTGTATTTCACTATTAAAATGCTAATAATGCAGGTAAATTTGGTGTTGATGAAAATAGGATGGCAAGAGCTGTGAGCGCTCACATGTCACATTAAAGCACAATAGCAGGTAAACAGTTAATGTGGGATATCAATGGGTAATCAATATATAAACACATTTATATATTTACACTGATCTAACCCAAAAAAACCCTCTATTTTATGGATGATATTGGTCGCGAAAGCCTACGTGTTGAACTAATAGAAAAAATGTTCTCCGATATCAATCCAATAATATTTGCAATCCCCTCCCAAAAAAGCAACCCCAAAGCAGGCAAAAAAAAATTGGGTGAATGTTGCAACTCCATTCCGAAGGGATTAGCATATGGACTAATCTTTTATCTGATTGAAGATTGTATGAGACAAATTGATTATGATAAATGAATTTAATAAATTAGCATACACTACAGTTTTAATGATTCACTGTTCCTCCCGCAACCGTTCGATGAAGTGCCGCGATTCATGAACACAATTCAGTTAAATATATTTTTTAATAATTATGATTCTGAATGGACTGGCCTCCAGAGGACGCGGGGGACATTTGAACCCATTACATACAACTTATATGCACTGACTAATTATAGATTCTTACACACATACACAATGTGTACATGAGCTTAAATAATCTATCTTAATGGTTGAATACATGGTTACACCCTAAGCATAGGTAAAGGTGCAGCCCTGCAATTGCTTGCTCACACAAGAGCCTCCACTTGAAGGAGATCTAGAGAGCCCCTCTAGATGGGTATTTCGCCTACTCTTCCACGCTGGTCAGATATCTTCGAAGGCGGTTGAAGTACCCACACTATACTCCACTACTAATTACGTGGTGAGTAATTTTGTATATATATAAAACAGTACGTCGTGGGGAGGGGGTAAAAACTAAAAAGTGTGTGTGCAGTGAATGTTAAGTCAACACAAATAATCCCCATACCCCGCCACAGCCTGGATGAACTGAAGATGGAAATGACCCATGAAGTAAGGGACAGACAGCCAGAGGGATTGAGTTGTGTGTCTCTGAACATTTGCTGATGTGTAAGGTTGTGTGTGGATGTCAGAGGTGCCCAATTGCGGCAATTACTCTGACTGCGACATAACATTTCAGGCTGCTGCACAGATATGCGTTTATCCGTTTCAACAGAAACAGGTGGTGGCAAGGGAGTTGTAGATTATCGAATTTTTGGAATGTCTATGTATATAAAAGGGACATTTGTGAATATGTGTGTCTGTTAGAAATGTTTAGCATACTTCCCGACATGCAACCAACTTGAAATTTGGCATGTGGGTAGTTTCCAGACTGTACACAATGCGAAACATCTAAAAATAGACTTTTGTATTTTTTTTTTGGGGGGGGGGGGGGGCGCAATAATGGATATATTTTGCACGGCATTTGAGCGGTGACGTCACATATGTGATGTCACCCGCATGCAGCAGCGTTACGCAGTGTGACTGCTGACGTCACACATCCCCCCCACCCTCCGCGTAGGCCGTGTATCTCGCACAAATGCGCGGCGGGGGAGGAATAATGGATATAATAGACTCCGACTAAACTATTAATTTCCGTGCGAAGAACGGGTACACCTGCTAGTGTAAATACATGGTTAAAATGTCCACACCGCTACGATTACCATGCACACGATTTCAAGAGTCTCACTAATTATATTCACAATAGTAGTCATTGTGATTATACCTATATTGATACGTCAATCATTTGTATGCATTCTTCCTTTAAAAAAAAGCATTTATGTGCGTGTGTATGTATGTTTGTTTTCTCACTTGACTTTTGTCCACATTGTAACAATTTGCCCACAAGGGACAACACGGATTCCAATTCAGCGGAGGATCTAAAGCAGGTCAACCAAAATGAGAACGCTATTGCGCGCCACCTTCACGTGAATTGGTGTGCGTTTTAACCGCGCCATTGTTCGGTTATAGACCACGCCGCCGTGCCATCCCTGACTGCTCCCTTTTCCGTGGCCGAGAGGAGCCTCTGCGTGCTTTCTTGACCCTGAGAACTCCAGGTGGGGTCACTGAAGCCGGACAGGTCC